CTGTCAACGAGGTGCTCGAGCAGGGTGCCGAGGGCGAAGCGGCCCTCGGCCTCCGCCCAGGGAAGCGCCGGGGGGGGCGGAGGGGCGGAGGGGCGGAGGGGGAGGCGGGGAGGGGGGCGGGGGAGACGGAAGGAGGAGGGGGGCATGGGGGGGAGAAGGGGGGGAGGGGAGGAGCGGGGGGGGTCAGGAGGGCGGAGGAGGAGGAGAGGGGGGAGGGGGTGAGGGGTGCTGGGCAGGGTGCTGAAGGCGAAGCGGCCCTCGGCCTTCGCCGGGGGGGGGGGGGGCTCGGCTCTGGGGCAAGGGGCAGAGGGCGTTTTTTGACCCGGCGGAGATCAACCCCAAGCATGACGGCCAGCTCGCAAGGGAAGCATAGCCAGCGGCGGGACTCGAACGGATTCGTCGGAATCGCTGGCATCGGGAAGGCATGTCAGTTCCTCCCAGAACGCCGCGAAAAGGGAGCGGGGAGAGCTGGTGGAAGACAAGCTAGGTGCGCTCGCGCATCATACGACATCATATCCCTCCCTCCCATCCCTTCCCATTGCGCTGACTGCTTCTCTCTCCGCGGACGCGTGTCATAGCAGACCTGCAACTCCAGCCAAACGACCACATCGTGTTATGCGCAATCGGAAGAGGCAGAGCTGCGTGCACAGGAGAAGGAGGAGGAGGTGGCGGGTGAGCAGGAGGATAAGCGGGAGGAAAAGGACGGAGGACGAACAGCCGCAGCAGAAACTGGAGTGGGAAGAGCGGGAGGAAGGAGCGGGAGGAACAGGAGGACCAGGGGAAGGCGGAGGAGGGGAAATGAGGGGGTCGACAACAATGAAAAAAAATCTGATCCAGAGAAGTGTCCCGCGCTGGGGCGAGAGCGCCATTCTGAACGACGGGAGCAAAGCGCCGATCCGAAAATAAGGCCATTGCGGCAGCAGAAGCAACATTTCAAAACACCAGAAATAATTGGAGCGCAAACAAACCATAAGAGAAAAACAAAGTTTAAGGGGAAAGAGGAGAATAGTATTCCTATTGCTTCATTGTGGAGGGGGGATGGGAAAAAGGGGAAGGTAAGGGGGACAAGGGGGAGGAAGAGGGCCAGTGTAAACCCAAGGCGCATCAACGATATTGCCATGAATCCTCCCTCCAAAATCCCTCTTCATAGGCTCCTACTAGAAATTACGCCGTTGGAAGAGCGCCGACTGGGGATCCTCAATCGTGCCAAAACACAGCGAAATAACGTTACTCTTAGGACCTGACGATGCTGAATCGCGACAGAACACCATTCCAAGAACTTCAGAACTGCGAATTCACGTGACTATTGCGTATTGACAATCCTAAGTCGTGCCGCAGCACCATTCCTGGGACGTCCATTACAAAAACCCGTTTACTGTTGCAAACTTTGAGGACGAAGGTGCGAGGCGCTAAAGCGAGGGGCACAATCTGAATTATCCCGGCAAAGCAACCTAAGAGCGATGTGTAGGAGCATATCTGGAAGCATTCCCCTTCAGATTCAGATGAGAATCCAGTTGTAGAATTCTGCTGTTCTCGCAGTCGTAGTCGCATTCGCGATGACAGTCGCAGTGGCAACGGCAGTCGCAGTCACAGCCTCAGCCTCAGCCTGCCTCAGCCTCAGCCTGCCTCAGCCTCAGCCTCAGCCTGCCTCAGCCTCAGCCTCAGCCTCAGTCTGCCTTCAGCCTCGGCCTCAGCCTCAGCCTGCCTCAGCCTCAGCCTGCATCAGCCTCAGCCTCAGCCTCAGCCTGCCTCAGCATCAGCCTGCCTCAGCCTCAGCCTCAGCCTGCCTCAGCCTCAGCCTCAGTCTGCTTCAGCCTCAGCCTCAGTCTGCCTTCAGCCTCGGCCTCAGCCTCAGCCTGCCTCAGCCTCAGCCTGCCTCAGCCGCAGCGGCCCAGGAATGGAGTTCTGGGAACTCGAAGAGCACGAAGTGGCCTACAGTTGGCTCCGGGCATTCAAAATGTGGCCCGGGAATGGAGTTCTGGGAACTCGAAGAGCACGAAGTGGCCTACAGTTGGCTCCAGGCATTCAAAATTTGGCCCGGGAATGGATTTCTGGGAACTCGAAGAGCACGAAGTGGCCTACAGTTGGCTCCGGGCATTCAGAATGTGGCCCGGGAATGGAGTTCTGGGACCTCGAAGACCACGAAGTGTGTAACAGTTTGCTTAAAACGACTTCCGCGGATTCTCTCCGGCACCCGTCCGGCATCTGCCCAGGCCCCCCTGGGGAGTCAAGATTCTCTCTTTTGAGCCTACTAGAAACCTATCAGTCTTCGTCTGAAAAAGAACCGCCCACCATCCGTGAACCTCTGACGAACTTTTCAGACGTGCGCGCGGCGTTAAAGCGAAAACCACATTTTGAAAAAGAACCGCCCTCCATACGCGAAACTGCTGAAAACGTTCAAGACGAATGTGCGCAACGCTGAAGCGAAAAACCTCATTTGAAAAAGAGCCACCATACATCCGTGAAGCCCCTGCATGCTCTGCGACGGATGCGCGCGGGACCGAGGCGAGAACCACATGTTTGAAGAGGAACCGTCCTCCGTCCGCGAACCTGTTGCAAGCTTTTCGAGCGACGTGCGCGCGGCGTTCCGGCGAGAGCCACATCTTGAAGAGGACAATGCCCGGCAGTGAGACGTCTGCAGACCGTCCCGCCGAACGCGCGCCGCGCGGCTCCGAGCCGAGAGCCACACGGTGGAAACGGCCCGCCCCCCAGCCGTGAAGCTTCCTGCACGCCTGCGAGGCGCCTGCGCGCGGCGCTTGAGGCGAGAGCCACATTTTGAGATCGGACCGCCCTCCGTCCGCGAGGCTTCTGGAGCAGAGTTGGTGGGGAAGTCTCGGGCGAAACGCCCCGCCCTGCCAGCACGTCTCGGGGCGCGGCAGGGAGGAGTCATTTACAGGGAGAATGGATGAAGGAGGCGCTTGAAATCACGCACCTCGACAGCACCCAGGGTTTCCAGCCCCTTGCAGTAACGAAGACCGGTGGCGACGACGAGAGTGGAGAGCAAGCAAGTGATGGAAAGTGCACTCAGGCCCGAAATGGGGGGATACTGCAGCCCAGTGCATAAGCCGCCCTGCGCCAATCCTCCCCTGTCGTTGCCCCTGACCTGGCCCTCCTCTTCTGAAATCCGACACTGCGAAAGAAATACAACATCGCGAAAAAACACGACCAAAACTCTAGATCCTATGTCGGGAGCGATCGCCCCCGACCAATCGCCCTCGACTATGTCCCTGCGGCTCGTCTCGAGCCGGGCAGATCCGCGATGGCCCTGGGGCCCAGAAGCTGGGCCGAAGTGCCCAGGTGTGTAAAAAACAAAAAATGCAGCGCCGTGGTCGCAGAGTCCTCCTCCTCCTCCTACTCCTCCTCCTCCTCCTCCTCCTCCTCTTCCTCCTCCTCCTCCTCCTCCTCCTCCTCCTCCTCCCCTGAGCCAGCCCCCGCTCCTTGCCGCAGGGGCGGCCTGCGACACCGTGGCCTCGGCACTGGCGAAGGTGGCCAGGAAGAGGTCGCAGGCCGCCAGCCTCACGGGCATGACCTGCGTCAAGGCGGCCGCTCGCGCTGCCGGGGGCGCCCGGAGGTGGCGCTCCGGGGAGGCGCGCGCCAAGAGCGGGGTGCGAGCGAGTACGACAGAGGCGGGCTTTCGGAGGTGTTCGTCGGCTTCTGGTGAGCGTTGTCAGATTCGGCGTTTCGACATTGGGCGGAAGGGAGGGACGGGGGGGGGGTCTGGCTCTGGGCCTCTGCTTAACGCGACTGTTTGCAACAGCGCGTCCTATGGGAGAGACTCCACCTGCTCGAAACAGGCGCCAAAAACAGCCAAGATCGACTCCGTTGGGGGGGAGGAGGGAGGGTGCGAGGGCCCGCGCCGATCGGCAGAACAATTGAGCATCGTTTTTCCGATCCCTATCCCAAGCGGCGTGGCAAGAGCCCCACTGGCCGATTCCCCCCCCCCCCCCCTAGATGGGGATCTAGGCCGGGATGGGGGATGGGGATTGGGGGTCGGTTTAACGATACGGAACAACGAGGAAGCAAGCGATCACCTGAAGGCCTCCCTGCCTCGGGATGCGCTCCAGCAGCCGCGCCTCGCCCGAGGGCGCTCCAGGGATGCCCGCCGCGCGCCGAGCGGCCGCCCGAGACCAGAGGCCCGACGCGCCCGCCGGCCCCACAGAGGCTGTGCTGGCGGCAGGCCCAGCAGGAGGGAGGGGGAGCAGGCCGGGAGGGCCCGAGGAGGAGGAGGAGGAGGAGGAGGAGGAGAGGAGGAGGAAGGAGGGAGGAGGAGGAGGAGGCGGAGGGAGGAGAGGAGGAGGAGGAGGAGGAGGAGGAGGAGGAGGAGGAGGAGGAGGAGGAGGAGGAGGAGGAGGAGGAGGAAGGAGGAGGAGGAGGCGGAGGGAGAGGAGGAGGAGGAGGAGGAGGAGGATCATGGCCTGGGGCACGTGGCCATGGCGTGGGGCACGTGGCCTGGGGCACGTGGCGTGCGCGGCCCAAGGGGGGGCCAAGGGGGCGTGTTGAAGGGGGCAGGCGAATCCGGGGAGATATCGCGGCCCTGGGCATGGTATCCGCACACCCCAAGTCCTCACTCCCCTCTTGGACGACCCCGAGATGAGCGGAGGGGAGTGGGAGCTGGGTGCGCGCGGCGATCGCGCAGGGCACTCAAGAGTGCAAGAATGCTCCGAGAAGATAACGGCACCGAGGATTACCGCAAGGAGACCGAGGCACAAATCTGTAACATTGGTGACGCGGATTGTCCTCTGAACCTGAAGTGGGTGAACCAGTGGAAGCCGACGCCACTGATGAATAAGAAGAAGAGGAAGAAGAAGAAGAAGAAGAAGAAGAAGAGGACGAAGAGCATGGTGTCCGTGAGACTGAGGTCGACAACGCACCCCCCGTGGTGGTGATTAGCCATGGAAGGAAGGAGGAGGGAGGAGCGAGGAAGAGGAAGGATGAGGAGGCGGGGGCAGCGAGGAGCGAGCCGAAACGCCCCCCCTGTGACTGCATCGGAGCTGCCCGAGATACCTTTTTGGCCTCTCCTGCGGGGGGGGCCCGCAAGGCGGGCTGGTCTCCATGACTCTTGGCACGAGGAAGGAGGAGGGAAGGAGAGAAGGGAAGGGAGGGAGGGGAGGGAGAGAAGGAGGAGGGAGAGGAGGAGGGAGAGAAAGATGGAGAATAGGGAGGGGAAGAGGCAGAGTAGGGAGGGAGGGAGTCAGGAGGTCAGGAGAAAGGAGGGGACTGAGGGGAAGAAGTGGGAATGGGAGTGTCGACTCCCCTGCGCCTCCTCGTCATCGCCCTCCGCCGACTTTTCTCCACCTCCCCCTCGTCCACCTATCAACCTCCTCCTCCTCCTCCTCCTCCTCCTCCTCCTCCTCCTCCTCCTCCTCCTCCTCCTCCTCCTCCTCCTGCTCCTCCTCCTCCTGCGTCCTCGACATAATTATCGGGCCCCACGCTCGAACAGCTACCCTGAAAGCTCCTGGAGGCCCCCGAGGGGCTCCTAAAAACCCTCCCCATCCGCCCCGCCTCGTCACATTCGTCCTGCTCCTCCTCCTCCTCCTCCTCCTCCTCCTCCTCCTCCTCCTCCTCCTTATCCTCCGCCTTCTCCTGGTCGTCCTTATCATAATAATCAGCAGCAGCAGCAGTAACATCCTCATCCTCATCATCATCATCATCATCATCATCAGCAGCAGCAGCATCATCATCACCATCATCATCACCACCACCACCATCATCATCATCATCACCATCACCACCACCACCACCACCATCATCATCATCATCATCAGCATCATCATCATATCATCAGCAGCAACATCGTCATCACTATCATCATCACCACCACCACCGTCACCACTATCACCATCACCATCAACATTACCATCACCATCACCATCACCGTCATGATAATGCGCATGATCAACATCAGCTGCAGCAGCATCGTCATCATCGTGAGCAGCATGATCGTCAGCAGCATCATAATAATCGTCCTCCTCCCCCTCCTCATCATGATGAGCATCATCGTCAGACCATCATCAGCAGCATCATCAACACCAACATACGAATCACGACTAACATGATCAACACCATCATTGGAAGCAGGAAGCATCATACTCAGTGCAATCGTCATACCAACATCGTCCTCATCACATGCATACAAATAATCGCGATTGGCATCATCGTCATCATCATCGTCATAACCGTCATTATAATCATCATCAGCATCATCATCACCACTATGATCGGCATCAGCATCATCATCATCATCAGCATATTCATCCTCATCATCACCATCATCATCATCATCGTCATCATCATCAGCATCACCATCATCATCGCCACCAGCATCATCAGCATACTCACCACCATCTTCATCGTCATCACCATCACCATCCTCATTAGCAGCAGTAGCATCAGCATCAGCATCAGCACCAACATACGAATCACGACTAACATGATCAACACCATCATTGGAAGCAGGAAGCATCATACTCAGTGCAATCGTCATACCAACATCGTCCTCATCACATGCATACAAATAATCGCGATTGGCATCATCGTCATCATCATCGTCATAACCGTCATTATAATCATCATCAGCATCATCATCACCACTATGATCGGCATCAGCATCATCATCATCATCAGCATATTCATCCTCATCATCACCATCATCATCATCATCGTCATCATCATCAGCATCACCATCATCATCGCCACCAGCATCATCAGCATACTCACCACCATCTTCATCGTCATCACCATCACCATCCTCATTAGCAGCAGTAGCATCAGCATCAGCATCAGCACCATCGGCAGAATCACCATTACCAGCATAATCATCATCATTATCATCATCGTCAGCATCATCAGCATCATCACCATCAGCATCGGCATCATTACCATCATGATTACGTCATCACCATCATAATCAGTATCATCATCAGTATCATCATCATCATCATCAGCATCATCATCATCATCATCAGTATCATCATCAACATCATCAGCATCGCCATCGTCGTCGACGCTGCCTTCGCCCCATCATCACATTCCTAATAAGGAGCGACAACATCATTAAAAACAACAGCAGCAGCACCATCATCATCCTCATCATCATCATCATCATCATCATCATCAGCATCAACAGCATCAACAGCATCAACATCAGCATCAACATCATCAGGAGCAGCATCAGCAACATCAGGAACACCTTCAGGAGCATCATCACCATCATCATCCGCAACGACAGCATCAACACCATCAGCATCATCGGCGTCGTCATCCCTCCTCCCCCCTTCTCCCCATCGTCCTGACCTACCCATGGTCTTCGTACTCCTTATCCTCACCCTCCTCGTCGTCAGACCCCCCAGACACCCCAGCCTGCAGAGGGCGGCCCGCGAGGCCCTCCCAGGGGCAGCACGGAGGGAACCACCTACCACCAGTGCGCCCCACATATCATGCACCTACCTGTGACCCAACCATGCTGCGCCAAAGCTGCTACGTACGAGTTGGCTTGATCCTAAAGTTGTCATCTTGTAAGACGAGGCAAAGACAGGTGCAAGCTCGGACAGGGAAGAATCGGGATCTCTGAGATCGGCACTGGAGGATGTATCGGGCGCCGCGGCCTTCTCAGAGCGGTCCGAAACTCTCTGAGAGCGTTCTGGAACGCTCTGGAACGATGTATTCTTGTCCTAGCCCCGCCCGACAATGCCGTGGCGCTGTCATGTCGTGCTTTGTCCTGGTACTGTGGCATCTCCGTCCTGATTCGAAGATCTGGCTGATCCTCAGACACCATTGCCTCCACAACTTGCGATCGCCCAGCCTGGCCCGTCCCGCGCCAGCGCGCACGCTGGCGCTGGGCCCAGGACGGGCCTGGCCAGGACTTCTGCTGATGACGAGGGGAGGAGGTCGGAGGAGGAAGGAGATGTTGAAGAGCAGAAAAAAGCTCGGTGGGGAATGGAGAGAGAGTGTAGAAGGCGGGGGGTAGGAGGAGGAGGAGGAGGAGGAGGAGGAGGAGGAGGAGGAGGAGGGACGAGGAGGAGGGACAATGAGGAGGACGAGGAGGAGGAGGAGGAAAAAACCAAGGAGGACGGACAAGGAGGATGCCCGCGCAGAGGCGGCGAGCCGCGGAGGCCTTGTCCCGCATGACGTGGTGGAGCAGCTGGCAGCTCAGCCGCCAGGCGGCGGCGCGGCCTGCCCGGTCGCCGTCCGAGGGGGTCTCGAGCACCGAGGTCATGGCCTTGAGGGCCTCGGGGGCGGCGGCCCCCCTTCGGCGAAGGAGGAGGAGGGAGGGGCAGGGGGAGGGGGAGGGAGGAGGGCCTCCTCCCCCCCCCCCCCCCCCCTCCCTGCCCCTGCCTCCCTCCTCCCTGCCTCCCTGCAACTTCCTGCCTCCCTGCCCCCCGCCCAAGAGCAGAGAGGGAGGGAGACTCCCAAGCGCCTACCTCTGCCGCACGATCTGCTCTGTTCCTGTTCATGCTGCGCCTGCTGCTCATCCCCCTGATAATGCTACAACTGGTTCTGCGAACCCGCCTGCCCCCGCTCAGTGTCACTGGCATGGTTGTATGCCTGGTCTGGATACCGTTTCATAATCATCCCTTCTTCCTCGTCATCATGATCCGTCTTCTTTTATTCCTGTACATGCTCCTAGTTAATCCCCTCCTCCTCCTCCTCCTCCTCATCCTCCTCCTCATCCGCACCCACCTCAATAATGAATACCTCTCTTCCCTCCTTCTCCTTCCCTCCTCCTCCTTAACCATTCCGTTTCCAATAAATATATACAATATATATAACACATACCTAACCTACATACCTACTACCTACCTACCTACACCTACCAACCAACCTACCTCCATACATAACATACATACATACATACATCATACATACATACATACACATAAACACATAAACACATATTACACAAATTAAATATATACATATACATATACATATACATATACATATACATATACATATACATATACATATACATATACAAATACATATACATATACATATACATATACATATACATATACATATACATATACATAAACATATACATATACATATACATATACATATACATATACATATACATATACATATACATATACATATACATATACATATACATATACATATACATATACATAGACATATACATATACACATCCAAAAAACATATACATATACATATACATTACATATACATATATATATATGTATCCTACCTGTCGCACCCCAAAGCCGGTCCAAAGGGCGGGACGGGCGTTTCGCCTGAGACTTTCTCGCCATCTATGATCCTTCAGCTCATAAGCTGACCACAGCTCCACAGATGTGGCTCTCGCCAAAATGCCTCCAAAATTTGTCTCAAAAGATTGCAAGAGCTTCACGGATTGAGGGCAGGTCGTTTTCAAAATGTGGCTCTCGCCTGAGCGCCGCGCACACTCGTTTTACATATTTGCCAGATTTTCGAGGATTGAGGGCGGGTCGTCTTCGAAATGTGGCTCTCGCTTTAGCGCAATGCACATTGTCAAATAGTTGCAAGAATTTCACGGGCTGAGGGCGGCTCCTTTTCAAAATGTGGCTCTCGCTCTAGCACCGTGCACATTCTTTGTGAAAGAATGCATGACTTTCACTGGTCCTCATGGTGAACGTGTCGGAAACGTTTTTGGGAACGATTCAGGAGTGTCCTGTCGCGACAGATACATTGATTCGTTGCATTGGAGTCCCAGGAATGGCGTTCTGGCACGATTCATGATCGCCAGGAAGTAACAGTCAGGTTCACTCGTGGCGTTACAGTGCTGAAAGTGGTGTTTAAGGGCACGCTTCAGGATTTTATGACGGTTGTCCCCGCCCCGGGGCAACTCCCCCAGTGGGAATGAGCCTTTGTCTGGGGCCTATGAAGAAGGAGCTCGGAGGGTGCATTCCAACATCGTCGATGGGTCTTGGGTTTGCACATTTTCCTCCTCCTCCTCTTCCTCCTCCTGCTTTTCCTCCTCCTGCTCATCATTTTTCTTTTCCTCCTCCTCTTCCTCCTGCTCCTTTTCCTATTATTCCTCCTCCCCCTTTCTCCTTCTCCCTGCCAGAAGAGGCGGACATCAGAAGCTCAGGCAGGCCGTACGTGAAGCTGTATGTATCCCACGCGAGTGCACACACACACACACACACACATACACGCACAGTCGATTCCATTCAGCCAGCATCCAGCACTCCCGCCTCGTATCATCCCTTCCTCCTTCCCTCCCCCATCCAGCTTGCCAAAAAAATGCAGCCTGGAGTCAAACATACGTCCCACCCTAGCGATGACCGGTCACATCGGAACGTGCGCCGGAGCGGGCCGCATCGGCTCAGAATCGAAGTCGGATCAGATCGGCTGTGCCAGGATGCACGACAGCGGCATGCAAGCATCGCGCATCGTACCGCCGGAATGTCGAAATCGAATCGGATCGGGACGGCCAGAATCGACATCGAATCACGCCGATCAGAGCGAAGTGGAACCTTCCCTAGTCCGCAAACGTGCGGAACATTTCCGTTCCCCCCCGCCCCCATCGCTGCGGCGACGCCTGGGAGCGCTTGTCCCACTTGGACGACTGGAGCGATGCGGCGATCATGTGCCCGTAGGCCTGCGACGCAATATGATGCGGATGAGGGGGGCGAAGAGGAGGGGGACGAGGAGGAGGAGGAGGAGGAGGAGGTCACAAGTAAAGGCGGCAGGGGGCAGCGCGTCAAGAGAAACTGCCTGCACTCGCGCTGTCCCTGCGGGGTCACATGGCGGAGCAAGGCATGGAGGACGACTGCGCTCGGAAGGCCCCCGGCCACGTCGGCAGCGAGGGCCCCGACAGCAGGCGGGAGTGCCTGACACTTTGCTGCCAACTGCTGTGGAAAGACGAGGGCCGACGAGGGGTGGCCTTTTTGTGACCTTCCCCCCGGGGGGATCGAACTCGCAACCCAGGGAAGGGAAGCCCACATTGCCTGAAGGAATAGAGAGAGGGAGAAGATGAAAAGGAGGAGGAGGAGGAGGAGGAAGAGGAGGGGGAGGGGGAGGAGCAGCAGGAGCAGCAGGAGCAGGATTTGTTGAACCCCTCGGCTTCCGCGGCATGCACATACCACGCCCAGGCCACAACACTGTCACACGCGAGGCCTTGGGCGGCGCATTGGCCGGCCAAAGACCCCACGGCGCCCCGCACACACGGCCGGCGGGCCGGGCCGGCCGAGCGGAACGGGGAAAAACGGAAGCCGTGGCAGTCGGGCTGCTGAGGACCTCCAGCGGCATGCTCAGCAAGCCCGACCGCCGCGGCAACGACGACGACACGACAGAGAGGACGAGCTGCCAAGCACGACCCCAACACGGCGAGCAGGGGGGGGGGAGACCCCCGACCGTACTGGGGACTGCGCGCCCGGCGACCCCCCAGGGGCCCCAGGGGGAAGGGGACCGCGATTTGGCGGCCATCCCCACAGGGTTCGGGATTTTTTCGCCCCTCGGGCACAAAGAAGGATCAAAAAGTAGGACGGGGTGCCTTGGGTGGGATACATAAAAGACTGAACGGTTATGTTACGTTTGCGGGGTCCCGGGAAGAGGGGGCGGAGGCGGAGGAGGAAAAGGAATGGAAGAGGAGAAGGGGAGAGGAAGGAGGGAGGGGAAAGGAAGAAGGAACAGCAGCGGCAAGAGAAGAGAGGACGAAGAGAGGGAGGACGACGCAGCCGAAACAGAGAAGTGGAACGGCCCCGAGCCGCGAAGCCGACCACGCGCCGGCACGACGCCGGGCTGTGCGGCGGCGCGCCACGGACCGCGCCGGCGCTCGGCTCCAAGCTCGCCGCGGGCGAAGGGGCAAGACGAGCAGGGGAAGGATGGGGAGGGAGGGGAGTAGATCGGCACGCCCGCAGTGGGCACGGTAGGTTCGTGTCGTGCCAACCTTGGCGTTGGTTTCTGACACCGCGCTGGATCGTTCAATCTTGAACGATCGGCCGCTTCCCAAACGACCGATCGCTCAACATCGACCGATCCTGGGCCACCGCTGGCATTCAACGTTGAACGCCGGCAGCGGGGTCGCCGCTGGTCGACACGACGCGAACCTACCGTAGGTTGGCACGCCCGCAATTGGTATGGGGGAACTTGGCACGATGCCGAACGACTCAATGCTGCCCAAAATCGTCGGCGGCCGCCGTCGAGCATGCGACTTGCTGTTCGTAATATTGTTTCAGGGGCGCCTGTGATTTATTCGACGATATACCGCGGGCCATGCCCCGCAGCCATGGTGCGTCATGTCTACAAGCGGTGCATAACGGCAGCAGTTCACGCATTGAATGTATGCGCCAAGACGCGCCCGTGGACCCATGCCGACTGCGCTACCCTGAAGCGCGGAGGGCCGGGGTGGGAGGCTTACCCCACGCGCGTGGCAGCCAAAGGCCGAAGCAACCGCCCTTGCCGCGAGGGCGCCGGTAGCTTGGCGGGCCCCTGACGCACTGCGCCTCTAATCAAAGGGCGGCCTTGGGCGCCAGCACCCGCTTCTTCGAGGGCTGATCCCGCTTGACCGTGGGCCTTCGCTTGAAGGAACCGCTGCCGAAGGGTTCCTTGGGCGCTCTCTTGGCACTGCATGGCCTGCTGTCCTTGGCCGTGCCCACGGCCATGGCTTTCGTAGACCTCACTGATCCAGCGCCCCAGCACTGCAGCTCGAAGTCGACGCAAGTGGGGCGGCCAGCGGGGGGAATGGCTGGGCATGGGAGCTTCCCCGCGGAGGCAAGCATGTACGAGCCACCACACCAGCGGCACGGGCAGAAGGTAGACTTGCCCCCCTTGGCCCGGCGGAGCTTCTGCGCCGTGGCGCCGTCGAGGTCGTGAGCGCACTGGACGATCGAGGCCGGCATGCTGGCGCGCAGCGTCTGGTGACGCTCCCGTGCTCTGGCTACCTTGCGGTCCTGGATGGCCGGATCACGCACTGGAGCCGAAGAGGCCCGGTGGCAAGCATCGCCCAAGGCTTCCCACCGAGCGCAGGGCTGGCAGGGACGCCAATGCCGCTCGGCCTGCCGCGCGTTGGTGCGGGCTGCTGCTGGAGTGCTCTTGGCCCGCCACCCGCACGGGCAGGCGCAGAGGTCGCCCGGGTAGCAGTGCTTCCTCCGGAGGTCGTCCGTGTCGAAAGTTCAGCATCGCGCGCTGGGCCTCGACTGTGGCGGGCGTGGCCCGCTGGTGCTGGGAAGCCCAACGCCTGCGGGCACCCGCCGTCTGCTCGAGCA